TAGAAATGGGTTTAGGAGGCCAGGAAGTATGTCTATGAGAGCACAGTGTGTAAAGCCACGAGAATAAAACCAAAAGTGGACTGGAGACCTGTTGAGGACCATTCTATATAATTGTTGGAAAATCATTCCATAATTAGATTCCAATTAAGGCTTGTCTGAGTCCTGGTGCCTTGCCATGTGGGCCAGTTATGATATGTAGGAAACGTAATTCTATGTGCCTCTAGTTACAGCTGCAATGCCCCAGTGCAGGAGTGCATCAGCTGAAGACATCTTGGTTCCTTGAGAATCCAGTAATAATAAAAAGAGGGATTCATCTTGGGGAAAAGGATAAACTCCTTAACCTGTCATCTTTCCCCATCAACCTCTTCAACATAAAAATCATCATCACCATAAAGTCAAAGCTGCCTTCAGAGTCACTCGATAATCCCTCCAATTATTCTACACACCCAATAAATAGTAGCTCAGAGTATTTTGTGTCTGGCCATCCTGAGGCATTGACCTCCCAGAACCCCTGTCCAGCATTACTAAATTGCTGTTTCTTATTTCATCCTTTTGCCATACCTCTTACACAGGCAGTTGGGGATCTTGCCAGGTCCCCAACAGAGACCCCAAGAATTTGTCAGGAACATGGAACATCTGAGGACAGCTGCAAGGGGTAAGCAAAGCCACCCCGAGAGAGAAGCCATAAGGGTACTGGCAATGCCATGGGGGAGGGACACCTAAATTCTTCATAGTTCACATATTGCCACAATTTGCTCTGGGCAATGGACATGGAATGTAGGATTTAAGGTTTACCCTGCTGGATTTCAGTCTTGCTTTAGCCCCATTCCTTCCTATCCTCCTTGTCCTCCCTTTCAGAATGGGAAGGTATATCCTGGGCCACTGTATGCTGGAAGCGTTTCATTTCTTTTTGATATTTACAGGGGCTCACACCTAAAAGCCTGCCTTAACTCTCAGAAGAGACTTTGGAATTGGACTTGGACCTTCAGCAACATTGAAACTATTAGGACTTTAGCAACTTTTACAGATGGACTAAATGTAGTTGACATAAAGAGATATGTATGAGTCTTCTGAGGCCAAGAGTGGACTGTTATGGTTTATATCTAGATCTCCCCCTAGAGTCTCATGGATCATAGGTGGTGAAAGGGTTTTGGCCCAGACAGGACTCTATAGCCAGGAAAGCCTCAACCGGAACCAGGAAGCTCCTATCTCCCCCGCCCCTAGGAATTTACCTGTGTAGCCATCTTCCCGCCCCTAGAAATTTACCTATGGCTCCAAACCTAGGACCAATGGGCTACCTGTGCTTCCCTAATGCCCACCTTAGGTTCCATCCCAAACCGAGGCTACTTACATACCCCCACATCACATGTCCGCCAGAGAGATTGCCAGACGCCCGTGTTCTCAGAATAAAGGCCTCTTTTTGTTTTATACTTCTCATCTTTTAGAAATATTTTTCATCTTTTGGAAATAATCCTATCAGGTGGGATCTTTGGAAGGTGGCTGGATTACAGTGTCACAGTAGTCTGTGAGCAAAGGCTCCCACAATCACCCAAATTATAAGAACTCCAAGCAAGGGAACATCTACAAATGGCATCAGTAATTGAGCTACAAGTAAGTACCAGATACAGTGCTCTGTCCTGAGCATAGCAAGTCAGCAAGACAAAATCCTTCCCTTGGAAAAATCACAGACAAGGACAGGCATCTGATGGTGGTACAGCTCACTCCATTGTATTTCCCACACAATCCTAACCCCCTGAGCTATGATGGCACTGAAATACGGCCAACTCTGAATGAGCGAGTACTAGGTAGCTTCAGAGATGATGGGACACAGAACTTGGACAAAACATCTAGGAAGACAAGGGCAGGGTTCAGGTGGAAAAACTAGGGTGAGAAGGAGAAGGGAAACAGGTACAAATTGTGGTGTTTTCTAGAGTCTGAATGTCTTTTCTCTGAGGAAACCTTGGCTGGTCAAGGGAGACCCAGAGCATGTAAGAGAGGAGAGCAATGAGGACTACGGGCTGTGGAGCTAAACTCTCCACCAATACCTATTTCTAAGCAAGCTCGCATGCTATCCAAAGGGAGGGCGCAGCTCTGAACCAGTCTCTGAGGTCAAGTCCTGGCCTGATTGCTTTGTAGCTATAGGACCCTAGCCACATTTCTCTAACCTCCCTGTGCCCTGGTTTCCTCATCTGTAATGTGGAAAAAATGATGTCATTTACCTCAAGGGGTAGTTGTGAAGACTGAGACACCCAAATAAGGGCACAGCACCTGACAAGAGGAATCTCAGTACAGCTGACGACTGATGTCCTTCCTAGTGACCTCACTCAGCCAGTCAGTCTCCTTTCTCTTCCTGTTGACTGAGCCTTTGGGGGAATAAAGAGACAGGAAAGATATGGTGCTGCCCCTGGAGGTCCTCAGTAACTGAATGATGCTGGCTCTGAGTCCTAATCAGGCAAGGCTGAGAATCCCTGCTGGGGAAAGAGCTCCCAGCCAATGATGAAAGACAAAGGTGGGGGCTCAATGGCATTTCCAGGCTCTAGCTAGACCCCTGGTCATGTCAGACCCCAGGTCACCATGGAAAACTCCGTAGGTCAGTTCTTCTGCATACAAATGTGCAAGCTGCATAAGGGAAGGTATGGGCTGGGGCATGACACCCAGTGGGTGGCTGTCACTCAGCCCAGCCTGGTCTTGCCATGGAAGATGAAGAGTCTGCTCTACTCTTCTTTCCAAAGTGCCGGAAAACCAAATATTGAAGTGGGATGAACAGCCTCAATTTTGAAATGTTAACAATTAACTCAAAAGTGTTGGAAACCTGGCAGTGATAAGACAAAGCCCATCTCGGGCAGCTTGCAGGCCAGTGCAGCACAATCTGTGAGTCAAGGAGACTTTGGCGCTGACACTTGTAGATTCCCTTGTCAGCAGCCTGCCCTTGAAAACCCTCTGGAAGCCTAGTAAAAAAAAACAGCTAGGACTCCTGGCTCCGTAAGTTCCTTGTGCAACCTCCTATCTTTGACAATTTCTGCAGATTGCTATTATATGTCACTTCTAGTCCCCACTCTCCACCAATACTTATTCCTAAGCAAGCATTTATAACATGCTATTTTTGGGGTTTGTTTGAAGTATTTTATATACTATCATATAAAATCTCCTTAGACCTTGATAAATGGGGAAACCGAGGTATGAGAACTTGCACAAGGTCACACAGTCAGACAATGAATATGATGGCAGCTGGCCCCATGCAGAGGGTTCAGAGTTTGTGGTCCTAATCATCACTCTACCCTGCTTCTCACCAGCCAGTTCCTCTGGGAAACAAATTAGACAAAGCTAGGCCTCTCAGGAGTCGGCCAAGGTCCTGAGGGCCAAGAGCCACATTAACAGCTTGGGGCCCACTGTCAACTACAGATTACCCCGGACCAGACCCAGGGTCCTATTCTCCTGTCTTCTTCACCTCCCTAGCATGGAAGCCGCACACTGAGCTGGGAGTGCCATCTGCAAACAGTCTGCCTCCGCTCTGCTGTCCCAGGGCTAATCCAAAGTACTGAGCTCTGGTGCTCAGCAGACCCCAGAACCACATCCCACTCCTAACCTACAAACCAACTCCTGGCTCCAATCCAGTGGCCCCTGGTCAACCCTGGGACTGGAAAATGCCAGATGATGCTTGCTCTCATGCCAGAGCACACATACATGGCTCCCAGCAGCCCAAGGCACATGGGGAGACAGTGAGCAGAGAGAACAGGGCAGCTGTGGCATGGATCCCCGGGGCCTCCCACAGCTCAGACAGATGCAAAGCAGATGCTTTGGAGACCCCAGAGGCAGCCACAAGGACTCTGTCCATTAAGCCACGTGAGTACCCTGTCAAAAGCAATGGCATCTTTTCCCAACTCACAGGGACATTTAGAAGATTAATCAGATGAGTTTGGCAGTCCTTGGGGCTCCCTGGGGAAGTGGGTGAATGCATCACACTTGTCATAAGCTCTGAAGGATGTGCCCCTGGTCAGGTCCTTGAAAGATGCTGTACAGGACAACTGAGTCACACAGGCTGGATCACTGCAGTCCCTGCATCTCAGCCAGACAATGCTTTATGACACACAAGTGGCACTGCTGTTCCAGCCACAGTTGGCCACAACTCGTGGTCTGGCCAGCAGGGTCAGGAGGCAGAGGAGCTGTTCCAGATGGTTCACTTCTTACCATAGACTTAGGCATCCAGTTCTGAATGTCCCTCCCCCTGGAAGCCCACCTGGCCCTGCTAGCCCATCAGGAGCTCTCGTCTCCACAAAGGTGTTATCTACTCCTGGCTCTCATCATGTGCTGTCTTGTTTGAGGCTGAAAGTTTAAAATATCGTTGATTAAGCACTGCGTATGTGCCAGGTCATACAGTAAGGGCTTCACATATATTATTTGCCTCCATCCTCATCACTCTCTGAAGTGGGTATGATTATACCCATTACATAGGAGCACTTGGCAGCCTGGTAATCATAACCTACGTCGGGCAACAGCATGTCCTGCCTTTCCATGGGACTGCATCTCTCATGAGATTACAAGCTCCTTCATGGCTGTAAAGACCTTTACACTTTCTTCTGTCATCTGAATAGGGACCTGTTATCCTGTTTCAAGCAACTGATCCTAATTAACCCAGAGGTGACATCAGTGAATAAAAATGTGGTTGGCCAAGTGGGCAGCTGACCATGGAATATGCATCCTTGTATGTGCTATGTAATAACTTAATTACCAAGAAGCTCTTGGTTACACTGCAGGTTAATTATCAAGAAAGTTTACCAAAATATTTTCCTATATTGCTTTCAGTGATAAATGAAGAACGGAAGCTCTGAGGAAAGTGGAGGAAAGTGTGTTGGGCTTAAAATGACCCAGAACATGTAGTGGGGCTGAGCGAGGAACTGTCAAATTAATCACCAGCCGAGGGCACAGGGCTCACACAGGGGGCTGGGGAAGCTGCGCTGGCTCCAGAGGAAGTGGCCCGAGGGAAAAGTGCACGGGCTCACCTTTGGTAGCGTAGGCTTCGGCAATCATGCGCAACCTGTACGGAGAGACGGCCGTCAGCGGCAGGTCATCGAGGCCCACCCGGGCATAAATGTTCAGAGCTTCTTTATAATCTCCTTCCACATAATTCAACTTGGCCATGATCAGATTGGATTCTTGTAGGAATTCTGACTAGAAGGAAAAGGAGAAAAAACATTTTCCTACAATATTATGTATGATATTCCCTCAGGACCCAGCCATCTGCTGTCACACAACCCCGTGAAACAAGGTGGACACAACTGCTCCTAGAAGTGTTTTTATAATAGCCAAAGAGTCCAGGCAACCCAAATGTCCATCACAATGCAGTAGAGCCATAAAATGGAATACTAGTCATAATCAAAGATGAAGTACTAACATGTGCTATAACATGGAGGAATCTCCAAAACACCTCCAAAGTGGAACACTAGTCAGAAAAGGCCACAAATTAGCTGACTCCATTTACCTGAAATGCCCAGAAGAGTCAAATCTATAGAATCAGGAAGCAGATTAGTGAGTACCTAGGGCCAAAGGCTAAAGAAGTGAGAGGTGACTTCTAATAGTTACCAGGTTTCTTTTTGAGATAATGAAAATGTGCCAGAGTTGATCATGGTGATGTCTGTACAACTCCATGAATATAGTAAAAGTTACTGAAGTATACACTTTAAATGGGTGAATTATATGGCAAGTGACTTATGTCTCAATAAAATTGCTGTGAATAAACAAAACCAAACCCTGCATCTCCCCTAAGCTGGGCCAAGGATGGAAGGAATTGTTTCTTTGGAGCACCTGCTGACAACCAAAAGCTGCCTTGACATTCTGGAGGATCCGGGACTCCTGGCACTAGCAACAAACAGGATGGAGCCCAGACAACCCAAGGTTTTCCATGGGTACAAAGTCAGGGCTTGCTTTCTCGAAAGGATGAACAGTTGCTACTGAGTAGCAATTCAAGCGTGGGAAGTCAAAGTTGTGGACCAAGAATCCCTCTTCTGCCAGTTCCAAGACAGCTCCACCTTTGTCCCCACCGCTTGGTCAGCCCCACCAGCCTCATCTCCACCCTCCCTTCCTGAGGCTCTTTGGCTGGAGACAGAAGAGATGACCTAGCCATCTAGACAAGGAAGCACACCCGGCACCCGCTGAGGCCTCCTCCTGGGAGTGCAGGCTACCAGAGCGCGCTGCGAAGCTGCACCACTGTGTAACCGGCAGCCTGGACAGGTGAGCAACAAGACACAGCAGCCCAGGCGGAGCATCCACTCGGGTCACGATGGTCACCTCCAGGCATTTCCTGGAAGGCAGCAGGGACACCAGGCAGCCCCGGAGAGGATGCTCAAAGAGAACAGAGTACAGCAAACAGGGTTGAGGAGTGGCCCAAGGGAGAGGCCACCATGCAAGAACCCTGAATCATATTTGGAGACAGAGCAACCAAAACAGACTAGAGAGAGGAGAAAAGGAGCCATAAAAAGAAACACCACAGGCCATCTCCTGCAGAGGAGGAGCTGGGCGGATCCGGAGTCCCTGCAGAAGCCCGTTCCTTTGTCTGAAGGACTGAATACTTCTGCAAGCAGGGAGGCATCGCAGCTTCCTGAGGCACCTCAGCCTGTGGTGAGTGCCCAGCACAGTCTGCCCAAATCTCAGACTGTTCCGGACCCCCCAGGCTTCTGGGTGCAGTGAAATGGAGCAGTGGGTTAGAGGCCACTACAGCTGCCTCCCCATCCACCCCCCCCCCCCCCCGCTACACTTGGAAGTCTGCTGAGCTCCTGACGGATGGGCGGGCCTACACTAACCCCCGAGCCCAGCCGCGCCTAGCCATCTGCCTGCAGAGGAGGAGCTGGGCGGATCTGGAGTGCCTGCAGAAGTCCCTTTCTTTGCCTAGAGGACTGTGGATATCTCTGCAAGCAGGGAGGGATCACAGGCTCCTGAGGCACTGTGGCCTGTGGAGAGCACCCTAACCCGGCTGCAATTGAAGAGCTGTGGATCTTCCAAGGGGCAGGTGGGCGCACAGTGTCCCTGAGGCCCAGCTTGTCTGGAACTGCGGAGTTCTGAGCAGGCAGAGGAGGGACACTGGTTCTGCAGGCCCAATGGCTTGGGGTAGTGCGGTGTCAGAGGCTCAGTAGCTCCAAGCATAGAAGGGGATTTTCAACAGATCCTGAGGAAGCTTTCAAATAACACTTGAAACACAGAAATATACAAAATGACAAAACGAAAGACCAAATTACAACCTCAAACCTTCAGCCCATCTCAGGAAACCCTAGGAGCAATGTATATAGAAGAAAATATATCCCATCCACCTCATATATCGGACATAATAGCTACTGAAGTTGACAAACAACTCCAGGAAGCTTTAAAGAAATTCAAACTCGAAATAATCTCCCAGATAAAAGAAGAAATGATAAAAGAAATGAAAGAGATTCTAAATATATCTAAAGAAAACACAGATAAAAAATTGGAGGAACTAAACAAAAAGATAGAATCCCTAGACGAGCAATATAAGAAACAAACAGAATACATAATGCAGATGCACAGAGATATACAGGAAATAAAAAACTCCACTGAAAGTTGTAAAAACCGCCTTAATGAAAGTGAAGATAGAATTTCAGACCTTGAAGACATGATTGCAGCTAGTGAACAGGAAAGGAAAGATCTTTTGAAAATAACAAGGAATCAGGAAACAACAATTCAACAACTGCAAGACGATGCAAAGAAGAATAACATAAGAATGATAGGGATTAATGAAAGAGAGGGAGACAACATAAAGGATGTCAAGCGGATATTTAGAGAAGTAATAGCTGAAAATTTCCCAAGCATGAGATCAGAAACTGACATCAAGATCAGTGAAGCATATAGAACTCCAAACACTCATAACCAAAATAAAACTACACCCAGACATATAATAATCACCATCCCAGAAATCCAACACAAGAATAGATTACTAAAAGCTATCAGAGAGAAAAGACAGATCACTTATAAAGGAAAACCTATCAGAATCACAGCAGACTTCTCAGCACAAACGATAAAGTCAAGAAGAGCATGGAGTGAAATATTCCAGATCCTAAAGCAAAATGATTTCCAACCAAGACTGATATATCCTGCAAAACTATCATTCAAAATAGATGGTGCAATACGATACTTCCATGACAAAGAACAGCTGAAGAACTTCATGAACACCAAACCGACCCTGCAAAAAATATTGAAAGACAGTTTAGATACACAAAGGAAAAAACCACTAAGCAAAGCAAATAATTAAACAGAACAGAAAGATAAAGATGCAACAGCAGAGAGATAACATTCCTACAATTAACCAGCATTTAACAGTAATAACCATTAATGTAAATGGTCTCAATGCACCAATCAAAAGAAACAGACTAGCAGAATGGATCAAGAAACAAAATCCAACCATATGCTGTTTACAGGAAACCCATCTAACCCAGAAGGATACTCACAGACTGAAAGTCAAAGGATGGAAAACAATTCTTCATGCAGCAGGAATCCAGAAAAAGGCAGGAGTAGTCATTCTGTTTGCAGACAACGTGAACTTTAAACCAACAATGACCATAAAGGACAAAGAAGGTCACTACATACTTGTAAGGGGAAAACTCCAAGAGGAAGAGATAACTATCTTAAATATATACGCACCAAACTCCAGAGCACCAAGTTATATAAAACAATTATTAACAGAAATGAAAACTCAAATTATCAGTAACACAATTGTAACAGGAGACCTTAATACGCCATTGACACCAAGGGACAGATCAACCAGACAGAAAATGAGCAAAGAAATAACAGAACTGAATCATACCTGTGAACAAATGGGTTTGATAGACATATACAGGATGTTCCACCCAACAACATCAGAATACACATTCTTCTCAGCAGTACATGGATCATTTTCTAAAATAGACCATATATTAGCTCACAGAACATATTTAAACAAGTGCAAAAGAGCTGAAATCATCCCTTGCATGTTATCGGATCATAGCGCTCTGAAATTAGAAATTAATGATAAAAGATACTGCAAAAATCCCACAAACACATGGAAACTGAATAACACACTCTTGAGTAATCAGTGGGTCACAGAGGAAATTAAAGAAGAAATCAAACAATACCTAAAAGAAAATGAAAATACAGATACAACTTACCGGAACCTGTGGGATGCAATGAAAGCCGTCCTGAGAGGAAAATTTATTGCACTGAGTTCCCACATCAGGAAAACAGAACGAATACAAATAAATAACTTGATGCTACACCTCAAACAGCTAGAAAAAGAAGAGCAAGTCAAGCCCAAAACCAAAAGAAGAGAGGAAATTATAAAAATCAGAGCAGAAATCAATGCAATAGAGACTAAGAAAACAATCCAAAGAATCAACAAATCAAAGAGTTGGTTCTTTGAAAGAATAAATAAAATCGATAAGCCCCTAGCCAACCTTATTAAAAAAAGGGAAGAAAAAGCTCAAATTCATGCAATAAGAAATGAAAAAGGAGAAATCACTACAGACCCAATAGAAATACAGAAGATCATCAACACCTACTTCGAAAACCTCTACTCTCAAAAGTTTGATAACACAGAAGAAATAGACAGATTCTTAGAAGCATATGAAGTGCCAAAGCTAGATCAAGAGGATGTAAAACTGTTGAATAACCCAATCTCTGTTACTGAAATTGAAAATGTAATTAAGTCCTTACCCACCAAGAAGAGCCCAGGCCCAGATGGATTCACTGCAGAATTCTACAAGAAATACAAAGAAGACCTAATGCCGACACTCCTCAAACTGTTCAATGAAATTGAAAGGGAAGCAATCCTTCCTAAGTCGTTCCTGGAAGCAAATATTACTCTAGTACCAAAACCTGAGAAAGACCCAACTAAAAAAGAGAACTATAGACCGATCTCCCTAATGAACACAGATGCAAAAATCCTCAATAAAATATTGGCAAATAGGATCCAGCAAATCATCAAGAAGATTATACACCATGACCAAGTGGGATTCATCCCAGGAATGCAAGGATGGTTCAACATACGCAAATCAATAAATGTAATCCACCATATCAATGAAACCAAAAATAAGAATCACATGATCATTTCTATAGATGCAGAAAAAGCCTTCGATAAGGTCCAACATTTATTCATGATAAAAACTCTACAGAAAATTGGAATAGATGGT